CAGATATGTTGCATGTTACTAGTCCTGTACAATTCAAATGCATTACAACAGTCAATGTACAAGTAATTATAACTTATTACTAGATTTAAAATATCATAAGAATAATGAGTACAAGAATGACGCTTTTATGCCAGTTTATGGGTAAAAATTAATTAATTCCCCACAGGTTTACTATAATATGCCATAAAAATTTCTAACAGTCCTAAATCTAAAGCTCAGCTGCAGATAAAGAATAATTAAAGCTATTAATTACTTTAACCAATACAATACTACCAGAAATGCACAATAACACACCATAAGAATAGGAGAACCCATAAACAGAATGATAAAGAAACAAAGACAGGAAGTCTACATACATCACTGCAGTAATCTCTGAGTATCAAACTGTATCACACTTACTTTCTTCCCTCTTATCGTGCCTGGAACATATGGCTTCACTTCTGGTTTATCTGGTGTTTCCAGAGCCTGTTTGTTGATGTGCTCAATCAGTTTCTTTCGATTCAGCGGACCAGTAGGATCCTTGTCGCAAGCATAGCTGCATCTCTGTGATGGAGGCAGCAAGTTGTCCTGTGATACATCATAAAAGTATTATTAGTAATCAATCTATATCCTATCTGGTTTGGAGATTTTCAACATTTCCAGCCATTAATTCATAACACTCTCCTCTAACTTCAAATGTCAGAACAGCTCAATCAGTAAAGTCACTGGCTACATGCTGGATAACCAGGGTTTGATTCCCAAAAAGGGTAACAATTTTCCTGTAAGATTTGAGGTTTTCACAGCGGTGAGTATGAAGATTTCCGTCTTCTGGGTTGTTGCGCTGTGTAGTCTGGTCGATGTTAACCAACGTTTCAGAGGTTATACTGCCTCCGTCATCAGGGCAGGCAGTATGACCTCTGAAACGTTGGTTAACATTGACCAGACTACACAGCGCAACAACCCAGAAGATGGAAATCTTCAGGAATTTTCCTGTTTGCCACCATGGCCACACCCCAACTGCAGTTCACCCACCATCCTAATCAATGGGTCCTAATATTATATATTTTGTGAAGGGTATAAATTATGGAGCTCCAAGTACGCAGTTTCCTCCAGCCTCATGTCACTTCAACCTTCTTACATCCAAATATTCTCCCAAGCATCCTTCCTGTTCTCAAACATCATGTAACTATGTTCTTCCCTTAACATGAGGGATCAAGTTTCACACCAGTACAAAACAGGAGGTATGATCTTTAATATTTATGCTTTTAAATAGCAGATGGAAGGCAAAAAATTATCAACCATATGGTAGCAAAAATTCCCTAAATTGAATCTGGTCTAATTTCCTTCTAAATAAAATTTTGATTTGTTACCACTGTTCCCTAATATTTGAACTCATCTGCACTTATGAGAACACAATATTTCAAAAAAAGAAATTAGTAGAACCAGTCTCTTTTATAGCAATAAGAAATGAATGTTAATGTGATAGAAATTTTATAGACATGGTTATTAATCTGTACTACTGACTAACCAAAGACATGCACTAGGTATCATTATTTATTATTATTAGACTATTATTGGCTTCTTGCTGTTGGCAAACACTTAAGTAAATGAACTGAATTGAATTGAATTATTGCTTTCTAATATCAGGCAATGGAATAATCTGATGAAAAGACTGAAACAATCTTTCTTAATGAATATGTTTCAATATTTGACCACCAAAATATGGCAGTAATTTTAAATACAGCATGTCATCACGGCACTGGGTTTAAGCACAGATAAAACAACCTTAATTATATGTATCAATTCCTCTAAGATTAATTCTGATCACTTTCCACACAGTGTACTGATGTACATTGTTGGGTTATTAAAACATCATTAACTGAATAACATGTTAAACAAAAACACTTTTCTTGCAGAAAGAAATTGAACTTTTAAATACTTACCATTATGGAAGTAGACACCCAAAATAATGTAGTCTAGATTATGATGAAGAAAATGGTAAAACAAATCATGTTTGGGCAAAATTGTACACAAATTAACTATGCTATAAACAGAAGTGGCAGAAAGGGCAAAGAGGAAGAAAGAATGAAAAGAAACATAACCTAACATGAAATGCCGCATCAACAATAAAAATTAAAGACTTATTAACTATTAACCACATCTGCACTCAACTTCTAATACAAAACAATTTTTATTGAAACTGACATTAAAAACTGTACTCACATCAGGGTCCACTTCCTTGGCAAGGATATTTATTTCCTCTGGAGACAGTTGGGACAATAATGTATCAACATCCAAATCTTCATAAGCACTGAGGTCCTTTCCATATAGTTTTTGGTTTGTTGTCATCTTTGTTGTCGTCGTAGTTGACGAAGTCTGAAATATATAAAGAAATCGTTCTTAGTATGTCAACCTACACCACTGAACTCTTAGAATCTGTTACCCAGCACACTCCAAGTTAAAATGCAACTTGACATGAAGATGACATTTCATTCTACAGAATACCAAAATGATTCCTTCTCTTCAGTGTGATTGCCAAAAGGTCTGTGAGAGTGTGAGAATGAAAACTGCAGAACAATACACTAATTTCTCTGGCAACCTCGAAACCTAAATTACCGTCCTGAACAGGGTCAATCAAGGCTTGGCGCAGACTTGGTACAGATTAACAAAACGCATATTCAGTTCTTCGTATCTCCACACAAATATGCACTCCAAACTGTAATTCTCCATTTAACCAACTACATAGCTTATTATTACACACACTATTAACTTATTTTTTAAAAGAGAAGCCCTTGTGACATCAATTAGTGGGTCACGATCGATAAAACACCATCGTCAAATACCAGCTGGTGTACCTAACATCAATTCAAACACAAATCAATTTCTATCGATGTCGTCTTGACGTCACTTGAGGCCCAAAATACACTAGGCAAGATGCAGCACTAACTAATAATCCATACATATATTAATTACATCATAAAAGCTTCAAACACCTACGCCCACTTCTCCAACTCTTCTAGAAATCTTTACATTCGGCAGCACAATGGGCCTCTCCCCACTCCTAGCACTTGGTTCAACCACGAGTATGACTAGATAACAAGTTGTTGGAAGTAAAGTTCGACGCCATATTTGGTCATGATAACGTCATCTCTGCTTTAACAGCGTCAAAAAACATGTTTACAAAAATGTTCTCCGTCTGTTATTGTTGAACGATATTCAGTTATAGACAACATAATTTGCAATGTTACGACAAAATAATTTTATCTGACGTTTACAATATATTCATAGACCACAGAAAGTATTAAACCTTCAGCGGAAGAACTGATACATAACTGAAAGTAAAGGTAAATTTGTCCCTGGCCCGTTATTAAACCACGCCATGAAGACATTCTATTGATTCTTGACCTTTGCACTAAATGGATGTGGGCTTCATGCCCTGACTACTTTGACCGCCCCATAGGAAGTCTGGACACAGCGACGATGAGAAATATATCAGACCATGCGAGGAATAGGGCCCATCGCACAGCCCCCAGTCTAGTTACTATCCTGACTAATCACCCAAGCTCCTTTCGTGGTGAATTCCACGGCGTTCTTTTCTTTTTCAGTTTTCACTCTTCGGTATATTCGAAGAACAGCCATTTTCGTTCCAACGCCCGCACGTTGCGTTGCACAAACCACTTAAAATGGAATAGGAATTAATATGGCATGGAAAGTTGTTCTTACTGCTGTTGGATGAATTTTAATTTTTATAAAATTTCATTCATTATAGCCTCTTTGTAATTTATATGCCTTACGAGTCGTGAATGGATTTTTGTACTTTGTTAAAGCTGTCAGATAAGTTTTGCACCATCACTAGACTTGTAATTTTTCATATTTCGAAAGACTGTTTGGTATAACTCTATCTCAATAACAAATGTTACATGTGAATTTTAAAACTTCATGAGGAAGTGATACCAAATGGCAATTCAAGTATAACTTTTATTTACAACAGATTTGCATCTGCGATAAATGACTACATTGACTAATAATACACGCCAAACCTAAAGAAAGATTTTGAAAAATATGTAAATTAAATTTAAATTTCCAGTGAAGTTCACGTTAAATTTAATCAGTGGCCTAAATACCGAAATGATAATAAACGGGAATAAACAGTTTATCTGTTTTCAACAAAAAATTAATAATTTACTGTTTAGTAGGAATTGAGGTTCTCAAGGCGGTGAGTATGAAAATAATTGTCTTCTGGGTTCTAGCGCCGTAATGGTAGAGGCTGCAAGTACCTCTGAAACGTCGGTAAACTTCTACCAGACTACATTACGCTGCAGCCCAGAAGACAGTTATTATCTTAATTTACTGCTTGTTACCTGAAAATATAATAATGAATGTGCGCACTTATATGGAATAAAATTAAGGTGTCACTGTTTAAATTCCTATAAAGTAACAAATTGAATCAAAGTGCGATAATTTGAACTCCCTCTTGTATTATGTGACTGGCACAGGCGTTTCTGTAAACAAACTTCTTGTATTTGTGTCTTTGGCTGAATACGTGTGCATCGTTATCAGCTGATCTTACTAATTTTAATAATGTAAGGCCAAGGTCACGTGTTAGCATATTCAACGCTAGCGGCAGAGATGAAAGGGTCATCTGCCGGCAGATCAGCGAGTGGTGTACAAAAAATCGCAAAGCCAAGAATAGCGAACAGTAGCGGCGAGGGGGGGAGGAGGGCTGCAGGCGTACTCCGAAGGAGTGGCAGCCGGCCAACACCCTATACTTGGTGATCTGTGCACGAGATTATTTATAGGGATAGGAAAAAGAGAGAGACAGATGGGCTGCGGCCACTGGCCTTCTGCAGGCCTCCCAACATGGCGCGCGTGTGACAAGACCTCGTGGTCACTACAAAGTCTGGCAGGACCTCTTTGTATCAGAGGTCATGTCACATCAACTATGACCTCTGGGTTTTCAAGATGATAAAATCAAAGAGGCTGAGATGGGTGGGGTATGAAGCACGCATGGGTAAAATGAGAAATTTGTAAACCCTGAAAGGAATAGGCCACTCAAAAGACCTAGTCTTACTTGGGACGGTAATATCAAAATGGACTTTTGATCTGACTCAGGATAGGGGCCAGTGGAGGAGTCTTATGTAATTTCTCTAATATTTTGTTACGTCGTCTCTATCAGGTCCAAATGTTACCACTCCTCTGCATTTTCTTCGAAACTCATGTTTTACACACATACAAAATAGTTTTTTATTTCACTGCTATGTATTTGAGTTGGTTGTTCGTAGGTTGGGTTACAGGAGTTACTAGCGATCTAAGTCTGTCCGGACAATCTTCCGTTTCAAGAAACATGAAAGTTCGCAGATTTTATATTTTAATGTTCAAAGCAGATTTTATAAGAACTTCATGTCTTGCTTGGAAGAATATTTGATCCTAAACGTAAAAAAGGAACATACATAAATAATTGCAAATAATTAATAGATAATATATAATTATCAAATATAAATAAAACACTGGAGAGCTTAATAATTTGTACTGTTGGTTAAATATTATCAGGATGAGCAAATCAGGATCAGCTAGATTATACGATAAATTCACACAAAAACTTGTACAAAAATCTGAAGGGAACAGACCACGAATCTTAAATAAATTGAATTCATTACATTCATCTGTCTCACGATACCGCCCAGTCACTGATCTCATGACTTCATTGAACGTTTATGTTGTATTAAAGGCAGGGTATGTCTAGTCTAGATTAGCGACTATTAGCTTCTCAAGAAGGACTCTTCTCCATGATGTTAGTAAGCTTCATATCGCATCTTCTTCTCCTTCTTCAACTGTAATGGATGACCTGTTCTGATTTATGACTAAGCACTACTCCATGGGCTGGCGGGGCGAACTTTAACAAATCTTTACAACAATTTTCCAGCTCACTTTGGGAAATTAAAGCAAAATTGGGGGCGAGGTAACAAACAACGCGCTTCTTAAACGAACTGTAACGCGAGTCGCTTCCTCTGACAGGACACTCATAATCTTACGTCAAAGCGACACGTACGAAGGGTCGTCGCCCAGAATACGATGCTATGTTTTCGTGATATTGACCCTGGAACTTGCACAGGTGTGGTGACAAGTTCCTACGCCCAGCTGAGCGGAAATCCCTTCTCGTTTCCGCTAATTTACAGCAGAAATGATTCAGATTTAGCAAAGAGGTAACGACGGGTGTTAATGCTGAGATTGTGTTCCGCCCATTATACCGTTAAAAGGTTCCACACGTTTGTTTCTGTGAAAAATGTATGCAGAATTAAGGCTCGTTACCTCTAACATAATCTAAGGGGTTAGTCTGGAAGATAATCAATTTTGAAGGGTTTTGACGACGATGTACGTAATACGTTTAAAATTACTAGGTTTCTGGACTTTGTCGATCGTCTGATATAAAAAAACGTTTCGGAAACTGGATCTGTTTCCGTCATCAGGTAAAATGAAGGATAAGAGACACCTACTCAGTTGAGTCCGTTAGAAGGAGCTATCACCGGTCCAGTGCGTCTTCTTCCTATTCTATTCTTATTTAAAAGTTATTACAGACTGACAACATTATATTGGGCATTGCCAATTGTCTGAAAAACTGGTATATTTTGGACACGACATTACAGGGGGTGAATTGACTGCCATTTTCAGGTGGTTTGTTGTCATTGTGGGTCTACAATTTTTTTAAGATTAGTGGCGAGTCTTAGGACTGAACACGAATGGGATAGCGCTCTCACCAAGGCACATATTGCCACTGTTCCGGTACACGTTATGCTTCTAATATGTGTCATGTTCTTGGGGAGAAATAAGGATTTTGCCATTTTGGCTCTCGGAACTGCCATATTGAATTATGCCTGAGATCTCATAAAAATTCTAGCTCAGTTGAAATTTATTATAGTTTTGCTTTTACATACAGCTGTAGGTATACTGAGTTAATAAATATAATACATCTGCGTTTATCAGCTGTGAGGACAGTCTCACTTTTCTTAAACCACTTTTTCTGTCCTCCAGCTTATCATACACAACTCCAGACGAAGATAGACTTCAGTTCTTCGGCTAGTCACACCTCCAGACAACTACAGAACTGTCCGGTCTTTAATTTCTCTCATCCCTTTTACGTCTCTCTTGTTAAGGCCGGCCATTCATACCCCTGGGCACGCAATTCGTCATAGAGTGAAAAGAGTTTCATGATCTGTGTTGGTCTGAGACCGCAGTTAACGTGTTTGATTCGCCTTTCCTCGAGGTCCTAAAATAACTGGTCCATCGAACTTGCATCCAGTCCTTGCCTTTTTATATTACATTTCTTGTTTGCAGTTTTTTCTGAAGACCTTAATTAGCTTCCAGCGGCTCAATCTGAT